TTGCTCTTCCAGATTTAAAGAAACTTTTTCTCTTAAGGTACCTATGACTCACAAATTTTGATAAAATATTTGTGAACAAATTGAAGTATTTATCTTTTCGCCTTGCCTGAGCCTTCCAGATTTCAGAAACTCTCAGCGAGTAGTCTTTCTTTCGTGGCAATTATAAGTATTTACATTAGTTCCATAAAAATCTGTTCTCCTCATCACAGCACACCCCTGGAAACATTGGTTATATTTCCAAGGCTTTGACGGGAATGCCGTATTTGAGAGGCATGCGTAGACTCAGATACGACCAGACAAATTTAAGGAACTCAGGTTGACTTTATGGAGCCAGTAGAGTCCCTTGGAAATGTCAGCCTGATACCTTGCTTACAGAGTCCCCAGCAGCCTTACCAGCCCTGCAGACTGAAGCTAGACAACTTGAGGTAACCCTCAGAGAAACTGCCTCAGTCGCTCATATATAGACAACCTCTGTGCCTGCCGCTCTATGGGTCACTCAGAAGGATCACCAGAGACATTTGAACTTCCAACCCGAAAAATCCATCAGATTGCCAGTACCTGCTCCCGCTCCACCTGAGGGGGCTTTAAGCCTCACATCTAAACTCTTCTCGTTGTCAGCACTCAGGAATCAGGCACTGCGTTTATAATTTGCTCCAACCATTAACCTGTGTTTTCCTTTTGTTTCCATAAAAATGCCTCTTGTTGATTACCTGATTGCTTGCTAACTAAGGCAGAGTCTGATGGCTGACACCACTTGCTGTAGCTATATTAACTCCTTCTGGGAGGGAAATAGGAATCCATATTGATAAAACTAGGCCGCAAGCCACTTGGCTACAAGAAGTCCTTTACCCCCACACCTCCTTTCCAGGGTGGCCAGAACTGATTTACTGGTCTATTTTCTTGGAGACCTATGGATATCAGATCAATTTTAGAGGGAATGCCGGGTTTTACTCTACTGTTACTTTTCCTTAAAATATACTTGGGGATAAAATTAATGATGTCATGTAGTACCAAACTACGTAGGAAAATATCCATCTTCTCTGATAAGGAACTATCTCTGATAGTTCTCCTCCATTAGCAAAAGGGACCAAATGTTGTGTCCTGCACCATGCCAAATCCTTCCATTCCAAAGCCCCTACTGCACCCTAAATCAGTTTGAAGCAGTTACAAAAGATGGACCACCTCCAGTGTTCCATAGAAATGGGATGAATGATTGACAACGGGAAATTATGACAGAAAAAACTTAGCATGTCTGACTCCATGTTGCTTGTGTTTCCCTTGCCGTGTCCTATAGATTAACAATTTCTGCTTGGCCCTACACATAGGCATGTCACAGCTAAGATTTGCAAAATCTGCACTTAACCCAAAAGCTACCTCACCTGAGGAAATAAAGAAGTAGCTAGGGTGGTCATTCTCCCAGTTCTTCAAGACTGAGGAATGGTCACAACTCAGGGAGGACTTGAAACCATGTCGGATAGGCTTAATGAAGTTAAAAGTAACAAAAAGTTGGGGCGCCTGGGTGGCTCAGTTAAGCGTCTGCCTTTGGCTTGGGTCATGATCTCAGGGTCCTGAGATCAAGCCCCATGTAGGGCTCTCTGCTCAGCGAGGAGCGTGCTTCTCCCTCTCCCTCTGCTGCTTCCCCTGCTTGTGCTCTCTCTCTCTCTCTCTCTGTCAAATAAATAAATAAATATTTAAAAAACCCAAAAAACTAACAAAAAGTTAAAAACTTGTTTTTCAGATAACTGTTTCCCCCTAATCAGCTCTTGTGTCTTTTCAGACCCCACTAACAAACTCACTATACTTTTTTAGCAAGATCAGAATGACTTCAAAGGATTCTATTTCTGCCCTGAGTACACAGTGTACATCTGTGTCATTAGCAAATAACCTAAGAGAAACATTTCAAACTAAAGGTAACAGTAAAAAATCGCCCTAAGTTCCCATACCTCCAAAGCCTGCAACCTCGCACATGCAAAAAGTATAAGATAAAGTTTGTAATTTTCTGGAATGTCCTTTGTAACTCTTGATATAACCAAAAACATATAACCCTGTATTAAACATTCCTCCTCTGGAACACTCTCTGTGAAGATTGTGTATCCTGAGTAGCTGTCCTCACTTGGGCTCGAATAAAACTCTTTTCCTGCTTCTTTTAGAAATTGTAAAATGTTTGTTCATTTTGTGTTGACAATACCAAGAACCACGAAAATCATAACTCGAATGAGAAAAGATAATCAAGTAGCACCAACATAGAGATGAATCAGATGTTCAATTACCTGACAAATATTTTAGAACAACCACCATAAAAATGTTTCAATAAGCAATTACAATTTGTCTTGAGCCAGATGAAAAAACAGAAATTTCAGAGATAAATAGAAGTTATAAAACAAAAACAAAAACAAAAGGAAACTACGGAACTGAAAAAAAAGAACAACAGCAGAAATTTTGAAACACTGCTGGATGGGCTCAAAAGTAGAGTGGAGATTATAGAAATTAGCATTACTCTACTTGAGCACTAATCAGTAGAATTTACCCAATTTGAGCAAGAGAGAAATAATAGACTTAAACAAAAGAGAACATATCCTTCCTCAGAGAATTTTAGGACAATAACAAAAGTTCCAAAATTCCGTATCGTCAAAGTTCCAGGAAAAGAAAGTGGAACTGAAAAATTATAATAAGAAATGATAACTTAAAATGTCAAAAATTTGGTGACAAATATAAACCTAGACAGTCTCGAAAATAAGTGAACCACATATATGACAAACCCAAATAAATCTATGCCAAAACACATCAGAGTCAATCTTTTATAACTAAAGACAAAAACAGTGGAAGCAGTTAGAACGAAATGACACATGGATTACAGATGAACACCCATTTTCATGATGGTAAATTTCTCATCTGACTAATGAGGGGTATTAAGTGTCCTGACACTTTTTAAGTGTTCAAATAGTGCTGTGAACCATGAGTTTTGCATCCAGCAATACTATATTTAATGAATGAAGGAGAGCACATGACATTCTCAGGCAAAGGAAAACGAAGAGAATTTGTTACTAGCAGAGCTATGCTGAGAGAATACTTAAAATAGGTGCTTAAAACAGAAATGATAAAGGGAGACTTCTAGGAGCATCAGAAAGAAATTATAGTAGGAAAAAGAAAAGAAAATGTAGGAGAAAGAACATACATATGGGACATCCGATAGGCTCATGAGCTGGAGAAATCACATCACATGATTAAAACAAAAATCATAAAACCATCTGATAACCTAGGCGACTTTGTTTAAAAGTAGGAAAAGTAAAGGGATCTAAATAGGAGTGAGGTTTCCACACTTCAGTGGAAACGATAAAACTTGATACCAGTAGACTGTGATAACTCACGTACACATATTGTAAATCCCACAGCAACCAATGAGAAAATTTTAGAAAGCAAAACATTCAAAAATATTTAAAAAAATCAAGATGGAATCCTATAGTGTTTAAAGTAAGGCACAGAAGGCAAGAAAGGAGGAACGGTTGAATGAGATACACAGGAAACAAAACAAATAAATTGGTAGCCATAAACACTAGCATATCAATGATTAACCTAATGTAAATTGACTATGTGAATTAAAAGGTAGATATTAGCAGTATCAGTAAGACACACAACTAACCACACAATGTTTATACGAAAATCACTTCAAGGCAGAAAGAATCAAGGTAGAACTAGAAGCTATTGGAATATTCTATTTGTATACGGGTAAGAGCTTACAAAGATATCACAAATACTTAGAGAAGCCACGCAGGTTAAGGTTACCTAGGCTAGATGGGGAATATGGTGAACTCTGAATACATGTCTATCTAAAAGGGGAGGGAAAGAGCAGCTCATCAACTCCACATAATTGTTGACAAGAGGAAATACTGGTTCAGTATCTTCTGATTATTCTAGAGAAGCTGGAATTCTGAGTTTTAACTAAAAATTGACTTGGAAAAAAAACCACACAAAAATAAAGTATTGAAAATACTTGGTTAGGAATAGATTCTAAAATGTTGCTTCACAAAATTACAGAATTTCACAGAAGAAATACAATAGAGCTTCTCAAAAAACAGGCATGCCCAGGGTAAAAATATTGAATTCTATTGTCCCTCTCCCTTCAGCCTATTTTCAAGCTACTTATATCACATCAGGGATATGAAACAGTTAGAATTCTCCAAAACATCACACAAAATTTCCTGAAATCGACTGCAGACTTTGAATGCATCATGTCCATAAAGTGGGAAAGTCCAATAACTATTCTCAGACTTGGATGGACCATGCAAATTGTCAATTATATTTTGTTTTGAAGATCCTAGTCAATAACAATGATGTGCCATTTTTCCATTGTGATTTAAAGCTTTGTGTTAAGAAACTGCCATCTACATCTAATAAATATATGAAAATCTTTAAAAAAAGAAAATCACTTCAATTTCAATAATATAGGTAAATTAAATGTAAATAGGATGGAAAACATATCATGCAAACATTAATTAAAAAGCAGGAGTAGCTATATAATTACGTAAAGTAGACTTCATCACAAAGAAAGTTAGCAGAGATCAAAATAAAACATACGAATAATGAAAGAATCAATCCTCCCGGAGGACTCTTTTTTTCATCCCTCCTATCCACCCCTCCTACTGTGTGTATGGATCTTTCTCTGTGTTCCAGAGGCTTCTGTTCCTGTCTCTGTCAGAGCAAGCACCACACTATTTTGGTTATTATATTTTTGTATAACCGACCCTAAGAAATTCTAAGTGCTTTGGAAAGCATCTCTACATCCTCAGAGTCCAGTCCAGTACCTGGCGCCCAGCAGGTGCTCAGGCAATAATTGCCTTATGTTTGAATTTCAGGCCAGTAAAGGCTGTTTTGCTAGGGTCAAAGAAAGGTCTCTACATCACATTCAACAAGTGGCCAATCGCGCTGACGCAACGAGGCTGCTCAGCAACTTACTAGGAAACCAGGGGCGGTGGGCACGCGCTGGGAAGGCTGCAGGCGCCATGGGCAGGGTGAGGTACGGCGCCGGCACCCAGCCGCGGGGGCGGAAGCGGCCCGCGGACCCCGCCGCCGCCTGCGCAGCCGTCGCGGTGATGGGCGCGCGGCGCCCCCCTTTCCAAGTCCGCGTGGGGAGCCACGCGGCGGGAAGGAAGCCCGCGGCGGCCAGGCGGGATCCCGCAAGGTTGCGGCGGAAGCGCTGGTGGCGGCGGGCCCGGGAGGCAGGCTCCAAAGGGCCGCTGCGAGCCCCGAAGCCGCCGGCGCCCGCCGTGTCCCCCGGCGAGCTGGACCTGGGCGCGCAGCGGGAGCGCTGGGAGACGTTCAGGCAGCGGCGGGGCCTCAGCCGCGAGGGCGCCGCCAAGTTCCTGCCGGACACCTTCGAGAACCCAGGCCTGGTGTATCACACCGGAGGCTGCCACTGCGGCGCGGTCCGCTTCGCCGTCTGGGCCCCCGCAGACCTGCGCGTGGTGGACTGCAGGTGCAGGCTGTGCAGGAAGAAGCAGCACCGACACTGCCCGGTCCCGGCCTCGCGCTTCACTCTCCTGCTGGGCGCCGAGAGCATCGTCACCTATCGATCCCACGCGCACCCGGCGCTGCACAGCTTCTGCAGCAGGCGCGGGGTGCAGAGTTTCCACGCCTCTGTCTCTGACCCCGGCGTGTATGGCGTCGCCCCGCACTGCCTGGACGCCGGCACGGTGCGCAGTGTGGTCATCGAGGAGGTCGACGGGGGCGACTGGGGGGAGGAGGCCGTGAAGGAGCCCAAGGCCATCCAGAACGCGTCCCCCGAGTGAGCCCCTGCCTCTCCTCCCGAAGAGGAGCGGTGACTGGGGCCGCAACACGGCTGAAACATGCCCGGTTCCCCCCCTCTAACCCCCCCCCCCCAGGAGCCACCTCAGTGCTTGTGAAGGGATTGCTGTATGAAAGAGGTCGGTTTCTGGACTGGTGAACCCGTGATGTCTCTCCAGCCCTCCACCCCTTCCCTTTCAGTGTTTTGCGACGGACTTGGACTTGCTTATGATCAAAAAACTGAGCACACGTTTGTCTGTCCACAGCCCGAATCTTCCAATCCAATAAACAAGTAGCGTCTCTACTTTTTCAAGTCGCCTTGTGTAACACTCCCTTGTATTCTTTATTCTTCATAGAGTTCTCATAGGTCATTTTCAGATCATTCATACGTACTGTACCGTTATGGTGCTATTGTGAACAAGATTGTTTTTAACGGCCGCACCTGGTATGTAGGACCACTCACTATATCCAAACACTTCTGTGAACATTTATTAGGACGTTTCCTACTGATTATCTGTGTGCGTGTGTGTGTTTCAGGTAAGCACTTACGTTTTCGCTACTTAAAGATAAGCATTGATTTCAGCCACATTGCTTATTTAATGTGTTTTTATGTAATACGTTTAAGGCTCATTAGTGTGACATACCTCATTGCACTTACGTTTTCAAATGATGCTTCCATTTTGCTTGATTTTGTTTTAGAAACTGCCTGTGGGTAGGGTGATGGGGAGACAGAAGAATGAGATAGATGTCTGTGCACTGTATGTACGCCTTCTTTGATGTTTTGAAATTCCTATCTTGAACATGTGTTAAGTATTCAGATAAAAGGTGTTCCAGAAATAAATACTAAGTAGAAAACTATTTCTATGTTGTACATTATAAATCAGCATCAATTTATATGTAATTTCTTTATACCTGAGATTTTTATCAAACAATAGGTGTCCTTTCCTATCAAATGATATGTATAAAGACCATCATTTAATAGCTTCATAGAATTAAAAAATGTGGATCTTCCATAACTTATTAACCAACCTCTTCTCATGGATAGTTGCCTTTTTTCCCAGCTTTTCATTATAATAGTAATATTTTGAAGGAGAAAAGTATGAATAAATACTCTCAGTGTTCTCTCCCTTGGATAAAAGGGCCTGGAACTCTTTCCATCTCTTTTTCTTGCTGTCTCTCTTCGGTACATATATTTCATTAGATGTGCATACAATATACATTGAATTAACTTGACATATCTATCAACAACTTAAAAATGAACTAAATAGGTATGTGTTTCCATGTATTGCAAATAACATGACAGCCATCACACTGAAAAGCTATCATCCTTCAATCCTTACCTCTCATTTTCCATCATCCCCCCCCACCCCAGCCTAGAGGAAGGAAATTTATGACTTGGTTTCCCTAACATGACCCTCTACTCCTCAAGCTTCCTCCTTTATTATTTGGAATAGTTTGGCCTATCCCTTTACTGCCTAGAGGCTGGGTTGAGGTAGAAAAGGGAGAGAGAGGGGGAGAGAACATGAACATGCACATATGCCCGTAGGAGATTCAGTCATCCTGGTGGTCAGAAAAGACCAAATTACACCTAGAGTTACACCTATGTGACATTCCATGGTCAACTGCATGGATGGGATCCAGAGAGAAAGAAAAAACAAATGGCTCAAGACTTCATGCTTCTACCATGTCAGTGTTTCTGTACCAATAAATGTGTGTATGTATAATTTCTCTGTTTCTGAGTGACTTTTCTTTCAAAGTGAATATTGATGTTTCTTCTCTGTGCCATGTGCAAATCATTCATGAATTCATTTTATTAAAAACTCACATTCAGGAGTTTCAGAGAGCATTGTTAACCTGCATACCATTTATGGGTCCTAGGCTGCTTTCCACGTGTGAGAATACAGGTAGGGGACAGTTGTGTGGTGAAAAGGGATGGGAGACAGTGCTAGAACCTGAGGATGGACAAGCGGTTGGGAAAGGGAATGATCTCCCAGATATCTGAGAATGGAAATTTGGAGAGAAAGAGAAGCAATAAGCAGCTCAGAACCAACGAGGAATGCTGGGGAAGGACAGAGGGGTTTAAGAGTCTTTGGGGGTTTTGGCACAGGTTGTGTGATGTCAGTGTTTTTTTCCCCTTCTGCATTAGCTTTTTTCCTGTTGCACAAAAAATATCATTTAAAAACTACATAGTAAAGGTTTGTCCATGCACCATTAAAGTCATCATGGACACTGATAGTGAGTGGTCTGTGTGCCATCCTTTAGGCATCTCTTATTTCAAAGAAAGTGCAAGGACCTGGCTTGTGGGTCTGGGCTGAAATGCCAACTCTTCTACCTACTACTGTAGGCATAAAATCTGTAAAACCCACACTCTCCCTCACTGTGAGGACTAAATGAAGTCATACATAAAGTCTTCTGGCACAGTGACTGATAATGCACCAAGAATTTGCTGTGGTTATTGCTCTTATTAGATCAGGACATTGATAAACAGAATCAATGGTCATAATTGTATTCAGCTCTAGGATTAAGACACCTCCATGTGCATTCTCTCAGGTGCCATTTTTTTTGAGCCACTTAAAGTGAGAGTCAGAGCCATCCAGTGATGGGGTAAAAAAGGAGTAGTAAGCCATAAGTCTACAGGATGCTAAATGCTCCATCCCCTTTTAATGGCTTCGTCAAACAATATCCACTGTTTCCTCTCTGTCCTCATAGACATGTTCCTGTCCTCATCCATCCAAGCTGTTAAGAGGGGAATCACCCTAGATGGAACCTCATCCTACCCCACCTCATACCTTATTTTCTCTCCAGCTTTACCCCTTTTTTTATCCCTACTGGGTGTCCAGCACTGCTCTCCATGCTAGGATAGAGCAATGAACAAAATGCAGTGCCTAGGCCCCTATCATTTCTGTCTGGTGGATGAGAGAGACAACCATGAGCTTACCACAGAGTGTGGCTAGGACAAGAACAGGGTGCTGGAGGAGCACAGAAAAAAAGCCCCTACTCTTGAATCAGTTAATAAACTTCTCTGGGCTTCAGTTTCAGGGTCCTCATCTCTAAAATTGTTACAATAATAATATTCCTTTCCTAATCTTGTCCTCTCTCCAGGGTGAGATATAAAGGAACCTAAAGAGACCAACTATATTCCAGGAGAAACCACGAACTCTGTGCCATTAGTCACATAGCAGGTTGGAGGCAAAGCATTCTAAGACCCCTGGGAATCTAGTCTATTCTGGGGAATGGGGGCAAGATTGGTGCCATTTCCATCTTTTCTTTATGTCTTCACATCTACCGAAAGGGCTTCTCTTATTTATAATGTATTCTTAAAATTATAGATTGTAAGTAACTAAATTTAGTGCTCACGGGTCATGCTCTAAAAGGGGTACCAGCAGTGGTATATCACCCTCCGGTGGACATTGTAAGTAATGTCACATTATTGCATGGTTTTACTGTTTAACACTTGAGAAATTCAAAGGGGATGGGTGATGCTTTCTTCCCCAGAGTCTCTGGGAAAGAAGCCCAGTAGTTGGGATGCTTTTCTCTACAATAAGTGTTCCAGGAATTACAACCAACAAGAACAGTTTCAAGTAGAAAAAGAAGACTTGTCTCTTTCTGTGGGCCTCTTTTCATGAAGGAGATCCTTCATAAAATCATTGCCCCTGGATACTATTTCCAGTTTCCCTTTTCTCACTGAATGAAATCTTGCACTAGTTAGTATATACTATTAAGAAAAGAACCTCTATCAGTAAATTTCAAGTCTTTAGTCATGTCTGTTCATCCAGCTTTATCAGTGACATATGAATAGGAAATTGATGTGGATGCATTATTTCTGCTTTTTATCCTTATCCTATGAACTGAGACTTCCAGCTATCATAGTGCATTCCCTTACATTAGTATGCCAAATCCTGAAGTAGGCTCTGGGATACTTACCTGGTCTCAGTCTTCGTGGAGCTCACAGAATGTTGAAGGAGACAGACAACAAAACAAGAAACTTCAAAAAACTGTAGTAGGTTCTCACAGTGATGGGGAAATTCAAGATGTCCTGATAATACATACCCAGATGAGGGCAAGCCATAGCGTTTCAAAGGAGGAGAATTTCCATATGAGACATAACAAATAAATAGGGGTTGGTCAGGTGGAAAGGGAACTAGAATTTCCCAGAGAAAAGGAATAATATATATGAGGTCTTGGAAGTCAGAGAGAGTATGATGCACATAAGGAACAGACTTCTATTCTGACCTCTTTATCAAATCATAAATTGTATTTGCTTGTTGTTTTCTGTAAGCATTTTGAGGGTAAGGATCCTATCCAATTCTTTATGAACCCCAAGTGCTTAGTACAGTATCTGATATATAAATATTCAATAAATAATCTATGTATGTATAAACTAAGAGCACCCACTATGTGCCAGGCACTGAAAAAGAGCTACTACTGTATTTTGATAAAATTCAGGCTTATTTAGAAAGTACATAAATTAAAACATAGCTATTTCTTGCCAATGGTAAAAAAAATTTCAGAAAAATGTATGTATCATTTGAGTAAAAAGGAGTGGGGAAACAACTAACCAATGTTTTGCTTTTGTTTTTGTTTTTACACAGAAAGTCCATTTTTTAATTTTATTATGTTATGTTAATAACCATACATTACATCATTAGTTGTTTTTTTTAGCTTTGAGCAACCAATTTATTCAAAAAACCAAAAACTAATAACACAGGAGTTATTTTTTTACCACCCATTCCAGAAATTCCTATAGGAACCTCTGCTTTTGCTTGGATGATCTTTAGCCCAGTGCCCTAGAATCATCTGGGGCGATTGATAAAAACCAGGATTTCCAGGTCCCATACAAAGGATTCTGATTCAGCAGGTCTGGAGTAGGGTTCAGGAATTTGCCTTTTTACTGAGTTCCTCAAACAATATTATTATTATTATTATTATTATTATTATTATTATTATTATGTTTTAAAAATTTTTTTATTTTTTTATTTTTTTTATTTTTTATGTTATGTTAATC